ATGGATTTCGTTTCACAAAACACAATATCAATAAGTTTTTCAAGTTTCAATTTGGAAATAAAAAACCATCCAGATAGAGGCGGGCCTCTTATCAATATAAGAATAGGAAGCAAAAATCTTCATATCTAAGTTTTTATCAAAATGTACTTCTTGATAAAACAATAACTATTGCACTAAAATCATCCCGTATTATTTCAATTTTAAGACTTAAGACTTACTACAAAAGACTTAAGTTTTGCAGTAAGAAGTGACTCTACTGGAACAGCATCCACCAGCATAGATAATAAATTTGAAGTGGAATAAAGCGTGAAATAAAACTTTTAAGCGTGGAATAAAGAATCAACTCAAAGAGTTAACAGGACAGGACTGATGAAGGGTCATAAAATAGATGCAGCTTATAATCCAGATGAACGTAGAAATAAACAAAACAACCAAATGTTTCGCAAATGTTTTTGCATGTTCGGCCATACGATAAACCATTGTTGTAATTTGAAGACCAACAAGAGCAAAGTTTTGCATCGCTTCAAAAGGAGAGAAAGCAAACAGAAATTATCATAACTATAGCTGAAGGCCAAGAGTAGAAGACCATGTTAATGATATAAATCCCCCATCAAGAATTCAGGAAAATATCCAATTGCAATGAAAGATCTCAATCGATTGACAGGTCGAACAGTAAAAAACCTTTGAACGGAAAAAACAATTATCCTTCACCTTATCAGATCCATGAACTAGGTGATGATGAAATTTCAGGAGAATATATCGATGATGACTGGGATATTGTTAATTTAAACTAGATCAGTCTCAGGTTGAACCAAAAATACAAGTGTATCTTAAATTATGTCATTATCACGTCGGAGACAAAAAGAAAAAATAACGGTCTGGAAACCCATTTTTTACTAGACACAGGAGCAACATGTTTGCTTATAAATTTTGAAAGTTATCAGCAGAATTGTAACATACAGTCTATACCGCTTATGAATTCTTAATCAAACACCATTGCTGTTAATGGAGTAAATTTTAAATTTATAGGTTTTACATTTTTTTACTCAATTTTTTTGTACTAACACTGATTATCCGGTAAAAATTATGGCGTAGAGTTTGGTGACAAAAGCGATCTAAATGTACTGGGAATGGATTTCGTTTCACAAAACACAATATCAATAAGTTTTTCAAGTTTCAATTTGGAAATAAAAAACCATCCAGATAGAGGCGGGCCTCTTATCAATATAAGAATAGGAAGCAAAAATCTTCATATCTAAGTTTTTATCAAAATGTACTTCTTGATAAAAACAATAACTATTGCACTAAAATCATCCCGTATTATTTCAATTTCTCCTGCAGGCGTAGTTTTCAAAAAAAACGAGCATTGTTTAGAATTGATAAGTCCTAGGAACAAAAAAGCTGTAAAAGCGTAAGTAGAAAAAGTAAGTATGTAAAAAAGTAAGCACCTATCGTACTCAAAAATTCCAGAGAGTAGAAAAAATTCATAACCAACGGTCAAATAGGCCAAACTTTTGAAGTTACATAAATTAAATATATTCTTTTTTTTTCCTGCTTCAAAACAATTGTAATTAAATTTTTTTTATAAAAGCTCTTATAACGCTAAAAGTTGTGCAGTTTACCTAACTTTTCGTAAAACGAGCTGTGAAATTACACTAATCTTACTGAAAAATAATATTACGAGTGTTCCTTATTTTTTCAATCTGAGTCACTAATCAAACATTTTTTGCGTGCTTGTGTTGGTGTTGTCTATTCAAGCAATTGCGAGAAGCACAAATTTTACTGAAAAAGCAAAACTTTTAAACCGAAAAACTGTATCAAAAATTGTATCAAAAAAATTTACAATACAAATTTTACTACATTGAATGGCGGTTCTGCATGACACTCAAAAGAATACGTCAAAAACAAGTAGATATTGGTTAAACTCTTTACCGAGATCGAAAACAGTCAAGTACGCCAACAATTATGGACCATTTTGGAAATGAAATAAAAATAGAAGGCTTCAAATGGAACCTCAAGTTGAGACAAAAAAAATCGATTTTTTGATTAATTGCAGAAAAAATTGCAAAAGGCTTAGGGCATGAACAAAATAGTCTAATGATTTTATAATCATTTTATATTCAGGCGCTTTTATCACTGAGAATTCAGTATTTTTTTGAAGTGAAACCAAAATTATCCTAAGTACAATAACGAGCATTTTTAGATTGAAACCTTTGATGAAAGAACTAGCCATTGTAAAACTCTAACAAACTTATTCTGCGAAGTTACTTAGCACCATCGGATTCTTCCTAAGGCCCAAGTAAGGACCGATGAAGTTCAATATTAGCTTTAAAATTTTCAACTTAGAAAATGCAAACTAGAAGAATTTCATCAAAACGGGGAAATATCATATCTTTACTTCACAACAAGTTGAGCACAATTTTTACCGTTAATCACTAACATAAAAAGGGCAAACATTGTTTTTCGACCCGACCCGCCGCAGATTTATGCCAGCATTTGTTAGCCTTTTAAAATTTATGGAAACATATTTAAACAACGCAAGTGCTGGTTGGTGGCTGTATGCAAACTCTGAAGTTCGTATGATTAGCTGCTCAAAATTGTGGCCAAATTACCAACTCGGTAGTTTGGAATCCACTACACACAGGCAATTAAACCTTCAATCACAACAAATTTTTAGAAGCAAAACTTTGGCACTTGGACCGCATCATTATTATGATTGCTTACGTAAAATTTTACATCATAAAACTCAAGACGATTTTTTTTATAAAACGGTGACTTTGGATTGGTAAATAACCGAATAGGAACTATTAGACTTACCTTTTTTGGATATGATACCGTTTTGTAATTGGTCTTTAATTTTCCTTTGCTTCGATATTTTTTTTTGATTCGGTTTTAATGCAAACTTTTTCTCTTTCTTTTCAAAAATGAAACAAAACTTGCTAATTGTGACAAAAATGTCGAATATGATAAAACATTTGTTTATTCTTGCTTTACAACCATTACAGTCTTCTATTCTTTCATTTTTTCATCTAGTAAATCCTAACCAAAAGTGTTTAGCTGTATGATCTGTTAATTGTGTTGCGACCAGGATCAAATTGAGAAATTACATTTATTTCTCTTATTTTCATTGTGGTGTGTTTGCATGCGAAGCTAAAAATCTCATGTTCAATTTGAGTAGGATAAAAAAATCGAAAATACATAGTTTGTGTATGACATAAAATTTCCACATAAACATCTTCTGTGAAAAACAGAAACAAGAACTGTGTCAGGATGTTTGACAAAAGAATTTGAAACGGTTATGAACTGTCAGCTCTCAATTGAAACATACAAAATCACAATCAGAACAATAAGAAGCTAGCATGGTATCATTGTAGTTTTGACAAGCAAAACCCAATCTCTCAACTCACAACTCATTTGCAACATGCATACGATGATGATGAGTACTATCAAAACAAGACAGCAAGTAAAATTTGGATCAAATTGCTTATGACATCAATGACAAGAAGGATGAAGGAAACGCTCGAAAATTTTTGAAAGTAAACAACTGATTCAAACTATTTCACTTCATTTTTTAACGACTTTATTTCAATTTTAAAATTTATGTCTTTTTCAAATGCTTAAGCTAACCCTATTTCACAATTATAAACATAATTTGATGCCAATGTAACTGTAAGTATCGAAGAATTGTCTTTCTAAGAAAAAGGGCCAGTTTTAGTACTGCAAATACTATACAGACGTGAAAAACTATTGTTTTCAAAGTTTACTTGAGATTAGAGTGGACTCCTGTCCACTTTTTATTTGACAACCCTTTAAATACTAGTCCTTTTCTTTCATTGTTTCATTATTTGATTCCTTTTGAGCTATTCAATAGTTTTTCACAGACTTTTTAGACGGATATCAAAAAGACAATGCGTCACCATACAAATTGACCGCTTAAAATATTCTGCCTTCAAAAGCAGACATTATAACGATAAGCACTCGGTCCCTATAGAGCCCAACAAAGACACAAGGAAATAGAAGACTTTCAAATCAAAGATTGGAAGAATAAAGGCTTCTTAATAAAAAACTTCAAAAATGAGACTACTGAAAACTTTCCAAAGACCGGAAGATGAAAGAGATAACCGATGAAATAAAGTATAGGAAGTTAAGAGTTAGACAAAGCTACTTAAAAGCATTCTTGTTTTAAAATTGAATCTGTCTAATATCTTCATAAGTTTAAATCCCACACTCATTTCTACTCGCTCGGTCAAGTTATTATTTTTCGGAGTAATTTTATTTCTTTCTTTTGCTTACGATATTAGAATTTTTATAATTTCCAAAAAAAACAACAGCAGCAACACTGATTTAGAAGAACTGATGAGACAATTGTCTGATAATCAATGAGCAATCTAGACGCAGAGAAGTGTTAGTTTAATTGTAAAAACTAGGCATTGACCCCACGCCTATTGGCAATAAAGACAGTTGTTCATTAATCGCTTAAATCATTTAAATTTAACTATCTATGATATAAATTCACACTCTTTTATAACTAAGTTTTTAAAAAATACCTATAACAATTGCCATGTACTTTAACGTTATTAGGTGAGACCTTTAACTTAGGATAGATTACTAAGCAATCAACCAGCAAGGATCGCTTAGCAAAACACTCCCCCCTCGTTTATCCCCTCTGCCCCTACCCCTCCGCACCTCCCCCTCCGCCCCTCCCCTTCCGCACCTCCCTCGCCCTTCTTTCCCGCCGCACCTACCCCTCCGCACCTCCCCATCCGCCCCTCCCCTTCCGCACCTCCCCGCCCTTCTTCCACTCTGCCCCTACCCCTCCGCACCTCCCCCCCCGCCCCTCCCCTTCCGCACCTCCCCCCGGCCATCTTCCCCTCCGCCCCTACCCCTCCGCACCTCCGCCGCCCTCACGTTCATCTTCTCAACGGGGGTGCTGGCAAAACGTGGGAGGGGTGGGGATGTAAACGATGAAGTGTAAACAGGTAATGGGTGTAAGTATTTGGGAGGGTGGTGTTTACTAGAGGAATGTCACGAGACGACAAGGGCAGGTAAATTGGATTAGAGAGAATAAATTAAAATCAGTCAAAAAAACGTAAAACTAAAAACTTATGACGAAAATTTGTTCATTAAAAAATTGAAAACAAGAGAACTATCTTTTAAGACAAATCACATTTCGTTTTATCTGTTTTGGGTAATTACGAATGATTTACAAATAAAACTTATTGTAATCGATTAATATGGATATTCGAACAAAATTAAGATTTTAACCCATTTTAAATCAATTATATATTTTTTTCTAATTTCATAGAAACTGATTCCCCCAAAATTCAATATAATTGGCTATTGTTGATGAAATTCCAGTGCGGGATGCTTATTGATTGTTCCGAGTTTCCGAGAATGTGATCCAACATTTGTGCTTGGATGGTTTTTTTCTCATGGGTTTTTATAACTAGCGCTGTTTTTACAGGTACAATCTCCTTCACCTTCTTATTATCCATTTGGTTTTTTTTGTAATAATTTGTAAAATCCATTTCCACAATGCCTGTCCAATTTTTTCTACATAGATACTAACTTTGAGGCACGCACCAAAACATAATGTTTTCTTTTGGTCAAAACCCGCCAAAAACTGCTTGTAAACGTCGGTTTTGGTCAGTTTTTTTTTTGGTATACTCAATTTGTCCTAGTACCAAAAGAAATAACAAGACTAAAGACTGTTTGTATCAAGTGAAGCCCTGAATGTTTCTACTGATTTTTAAGGTTTTTTGGGGTAGTGTTCACCTTAAAAAAAATGATGCGATATTTTTGAAAATCATCCCCCTACACGTTGTATAAAGTACAAATTGATATATTCCGCATCTAACAAAGTATTAAATAGACCAAATTGCATTCCTCAACTCGTTTTTGAACGTATTCCAAGCCGACCTTAGTAGCCGCTTGCGCGTTAAATTCCACCAAAAAAAGGTAGTAACAAAATCGAAATTGGTCTGGAGAAAGTCGGAACAAAAATATAAACCATTTCATCTACGGCAAAAAGCTTTCGAAACATTCAAGGATTTGCCTTGATACGAGCAACTTCTATCCTTTTGTAAATAACAAAGTTTCGCCCTGATGCAAGCATTCTTGTTGCTTATGCGTCCTCAAATGTCTTCATATTTTTGAACTCGCTGTGTTCAACCCGGATCGTTAGTGCACCACATTTTTCGGCTGTGATATTTATAAATTGTAATTTTTTGCTATTTTGGATGGAGTTATCGGGGATGATTCGCATGGAGTGTTTTTTTTTCTGGACATGCTTGCGTCACTAATTCACCATACTGCATGCAATATCTGAATTTATAAAACAGACTCCTGTTTTTTTTTGTGTATTTTTAAGAATATAAGCAGGCAATTTTATTTGTTATCAACAGATAAACGACCTGATTAGACGAAATTTTCCACTTAGCTCGAAAACTAAAATGGAGCACCTTCTCGCGGTTCCTCTGCAGCCGGCGATCAAGAATCCCGAAATCAAGAGGACCCAGCTGTTCATCAACAACGAATATGTGGACTCAGTCAGTGGGAAGACATTTGACACTATCAACCCCGTGAACGAACAAGTCATCTGCCAGGTATAGTTAGGCTGAACATGATTACAATCAAACAAAAAGCGAGAAGGAAGAATAATACTGAAACTTGTAACGGATTGCAACTATAGTTTCTACTCAACTTCTGAGGCGTGTTTGATTTCATTTTCTATCCATAAAACGTAAATTGATTATTTCTCTTTTTCTTAGTCGCCGAATACTTATGCCTTTCAACTTTCAATGCTTTCCCCGTGATTTCGTGATTAGTCCGTTTTTTTTCCCGCCACAATCAGGGGCGGATCTAGGATTTTCTCGAAGAAGGGGGGGCATGTCTAATATTTAATTCGGTCGATCACACACAATTGATTTTCTGAGCGCTCCCAAATCACTATAACGACCCCATTTTTACCAAATATTCTGCGCTTATTTACCAAATATTTCTCTTTTATTGTTTTTACTCGGATTTTTTCATGTATTCACAATTTGTTCAGGTGCAAGAAGGGGACAAGGCGGACGTGGACTTAGCAGTGGCAGCTGCCAGGTTAGCCATGAACCGAAAGTCCACTTGGAGGACCATGAACCCGGCCGATAGAGGGCAACTGCTGCACAAGATAGCAGATATAATCGAACGGAACACAGCCTACATCGCTTCCCTAGAAGTGCTGGATAATGGGAAACCGTACGTCATGGCGTTTCTCGATGTCACAACTTGCGTTTCCTGGTTTAGGTGAGTTGATTTGGATCAAGTTTTGCAGAAATTATTTCATTTAGATCCGATCTAAGCAAGATTGATCTATGCAGGGGGCAGTTTAAAGGCGTGGGTTGGGAATGTGGGCACGTTACGGCTTTTTTTTATTAATACGCCAAATCAACCTAAAAGAAGGTCACCAAAGTTTACCAAAATTGTAGATATGCCCTCGAATACTTGCACTGAGCGCTTCAGTTTGATTTTTTTTCTAGATCTACGAATCTCAGCACAAACTATAAAATAATAATTTAATCAAAATTGTTTTTTTTTTGCCCGCTCGCCCCTCAAGTTCAAGTTAGGCAGTAATTGACGGCAAACTCTTCATATCGACCAGACAATCTGCAGGGCGCTAAATTTTTCTCCAAGAAAGGGAACTTTTGGGTGGTTTTAAATTTTAAAGTGGTGAAAAAATTCAACTGCTAGCCTCCGCCCTTTTTGATATCCATTATTTTCATCGATTATAATTGTTTTTTTTTGTTATGATGCAGATACTACGCCGGATACTGTGACAAAATCGAGGGCCGCACTTTGGCCATGGAAGATGGGAAGATGGGCTACACCAGGTACGAGCCAGTGGGAGTTGTGGGTGCCATCACCCCCTGGAATTTTCCCTTCCTGATGACGTCACTGAAACTGAGCCAGTGTCTGGCAGCTGGGAATGCGGTGGTGCTCAAGCCGCCCGAGCAGACTCCCTTGACGACGCTGCTGTTCGGAGACATCGCCATAGAGGCCGGATTTCCACCAGGTCACAAACAAAACATTTTTTTTTGTAAGAAGAAGTTTCAAAGATGGTAAAGTACAGGTCATATTTAGCCAGTACTATTTGTAAGACATTTTTAACGGTTTACCTACAGATAAAACTTTTTTCCTGTTTGGTTTTTTCTATTTAGTTATGTTTTTTTTTCATAATATTGACATGAACCATCTTTATCGATAACACACGATTTTAAAACATCGATATGATTTATTTTGAACAGTTCCACCAACATGAAAAATGGTTTGTAAGATGAAGTTCAAGCAAAAATTTTATTTATTTTGGCGTGCAGTATATTCGTGCTCACAGTTTTTTAAACACTATAGTATACTGTTGAATGTTTCCCTTTATTTTATTGCATTCATTTCCAGGCGTCATCAACATCATACCTGGTTACGGGCCGACCGCAGGCGCCGCAATCTCGCACCATCCAGACATAAACAAAGTGGCTTTCACTGGATCCACCGAGGTTGGCCATCTGATCCAAACTGCTTCTGGCGAGTCAAATTTGAAACGAGTCACTCTAGAGCTGGGCGGTAAATGCCCTTTGATCATCAGCAAAACTGCTGATCTAGACATCGTAGTACCATTCGCTCAAAATGCATGTTATGTTAACATGGGTCAAACATGTTGCG